TGTTCTGCAGCAACAGGGGAAGGAACAAGGATTAGAAATCTTCATCTCCAACTATAGGAGTCCTGCTTCATACTGAAGAAAGTGAGGCCAAAAGGATGACCTGTTATCACTGTGCAAGATATAAGCCTCCTTATTTGCCATGCAGTTGGTAAGAGTTCTTGGGAATATTTCTAGAACACACAGAAAAGGTTAGAAAGCAATAAGCACTTTTTCCAAGAAGAAAGGTTTCCAAAAAAACCCCAAAGAAACAAACCCATTAATATTAGCTTCAAATTACTTACAAAAGTAACAGGCTATCACTGAATTCTAGGACACAGTATTGGGTTTGGTTCCATACATCTAATGGGACTCCAGCTCCCATATTCATCCCACAGAGATGAATTAAGTTTCAAATAAAAGTTAAGCTTATTATAGAAATGTGACTCCAGTAATTTTCTATTTAACTTAACACTCTAGATGACAAAGACCTTTCTTTACTTGACTGTTACTGCCTCACCTTCAATAGAATGATATCTAGTTTCATGCCACATCCAAGTAATATCTCTATGCAGTATTGTCCATCAAGTCTTAAGATAACAGCATGCTATGAAGAGGATGGCAACTACTCCCATTCCTCGAGGTACAGAAAAATACTTCATCATAAAAGCATGCCAAACCAGAACAGGCTTTTCCACATCAATGATGAAAAATTCACTTTGAAAATACCCACTTTGTTAGGAAACCATTACAAAAAGAGTATTTTCACTGAGGGTCCTGGCCCCATGGTGAATATCAACCCATTACAATAATAACTTGAAGGAAAAAAAAACCCAACACACCTATATAGAGTTACATATACACCTCTGAAAGGGATTGGAAGGAAATAAAACCTACTTAATGGCAAAACAGGGCATTGTGCAGTCCATAGGAAGCAACAGTATTAGAAACTACCATCACCTTAGTTTCAACACAAAAGCTTTCTTCTCTCTCTACCTGTCCCACACTCAATTTCTATGAAAATAGTAGAAATCTACCAAAGAATTTGTCATTTTCTGCACTGGTTGCTATGTCAGTGCTTTCCCCCCAATTTTACAGGAAAAACAAACAGGCTACAAGGATAGCATACTCTGAAAGGCTGGCAAACTTTTTTCTATTCCCTAAATGGCCACATCAGTTACACAAATTAATGACATATATACTGCCAGCTGACTATTTAAATGAAAATACATTTCCACACCAGAAAGATTTCTCTCAGCAACAATTTTGCTACTATCAGTTTAAAAATGTGTCACTTCCTCTTTGTGAGCCCTGTAATTATTTAAACACACTTTATACCATTCTTTTGTCATTATGTTTAGACTGCTCAGTGATTTTATGCTCTCACGTTATCTTTTTCTCAGAAAAAAATATTCAGCTATTTAAGAAACAATATATTTATTAAAATATTTTAATAGAAAGTTTTTCACCATCTTCCTCAAGAGCACTGCTGGAAGGGTGTCAATCAACAAGACTCCAGAACTTTTGTCTCCCTGACACATAGGAATATTAACAAGTAGGGAAAAAAAAAAGACCTGTGAGCTGATGGGCTTATATGTTCTCAGTGTCTACAGTGGCGATTTGGAGCACCTGAGCTCCAACACCTACAAAGGAACCCCCCCAAAAGATTAAGAAAGGAGGGAAATTTAGTCAGGATAGCATAGATAGAAATAGGGAGAGGATACCAGCTAGCTTAAACATGCACATAGCCTCTAGGCTTCAGGGCACCAGTTGCAGCAGCTTTTGGGATGCATAAGGTAAAGCATCTGGCAGCTCTTTGCCTTGAGAGCCCATTCTGCCTGCCAGAGAATACCCACCACCTCCTAAAGCCATTAGCTTTGGTTCTACAGCAGACTCCTCTTGCCCGATACCGCAGGGTAGCCACAGGGCTCCCAGCTGGAAGACAGTTACGGGTTGATGCTCAAAGACTACCTCACCTGCCAGATGCTGAAAAGGTATTATCCAGGGAGTGTTAAGAAACAAACAAAAAACCCCAACAAAACAACAATGAAACATATCCAAACCCACAAACCAAACCAAACAAAAAATCCCACAAAACAAAAAAACACCACCACAACACCAAATGTTACACTTCTACCTAGTCTTTCTGTCACCTTTGTAATAGAGAGTATCTAGGTTGGAAACCCTGATCTGAATCCTTGACTCCTTGTCATCTTTCTTACCTAGTTCCCTTGATGTAACAACGTCTATTTGATACTAGGGAAGATGGTCTTCCGAGCAAAATACTTGCAATGGGTCAGCTACACACCACTGTCACCAAGTTGTTATCTAAGAGGGAGAAAGGGTAAAAAGGGGTTTTGATGCTTCATCCTCAACTTTCCTAAGCAAAAGAGGTGACAGGACAACTTGGCTTTACAGCTGCCTTGTCTGCTGGGGATTTGACAGAAACCTTATGGTTGACTTGGTAAAAGTAACTGGCCAACTATCATAAAGTTTAGTGGGCTGAATAAACTAATGTGCTCAGAAAGGTAACCTCCCATTCCATGCAAGTAAACAGATCTTCTTCTGTTTAAACAGATCAATTCCAGGTGATGCCTTAAATCATGATGTTTCCTATGACATTTGTGATGATACTTTTTAGATAGAAAACATTATGTTTCAGAACTGCTGATCCAGTTTTGTTTCAGATGGTAAAATGGTAAGGGAGAGTATGAAAAACAGATAGTTTTGACCTCCTGCTTTTATGACCCTCTGACACAGCCTCTGACTGGTCATACCTTGAGTTTTTCTCTATAGCACAATCCAAATTAACCACCTGTTGGGTGGGGTTTGCCTTAATTTTTTCTTTCTCTACATCACAAACTGAGTTTTCAGAAATGGAAAGCAAAGGATGAATGCATAAGAAATCAATAATGCTAAAGGTCTTCATTTAACGGAAGCATCAGCAATTCATGTTTTCTTTTTAAGTATCTTAGCTCCACATCAGAATACCTTGCCTTCAGTCAACAGCCTATCCAGCTTCAGCAGCTGGATAGCACCATCAAGGCTGGCTCTGGAGCGTTCACTGGGGAAGGCAGCAAAAAGCAATTCTGCCATTAAACACATTTCATGGAATGTGATAAACAAGAAACGTGTGACCTTTCTACAGGAAAATATACTGTAATTGCCTGGAAAAAAAAAGATGTGCTTGACTAATGGCAACATGCTGGTTTTAGCCCTCAAACAGAACTAAAACCCCTTAAGTACAGTACCTCCCCACGTGCGCTGGTTTTTAACATCAGGTTACAAACATTTAAAACACACAGGTTCTCTGTGCTGACAGCTTCGAGAAAGTATGCAGATACACTGCCTTCATAGACTGCCCTAACAGGTTGAGCACTGCAATGGCAGCACTATCAAATCACTTACTTGTACCCAAATGGTCAGTAAATTAGCAAAATGAGCACTGATCTGTACAAAAAGAGTGAACAGATATGCCGTACCCTGCAATAAAGCAGACTACCCTATTACGCTCGTATAAAGGCCACATCCCTTATTTATAATGCCAAAACTGGGGAAGAGTGAAGCTCTCATTAAAGCCAGTAAGACATACCTACAGAGGCACATACACACTTGCAGTCTCTGTACAGAAGGTTGTGAGCATAGGCACGCCCTATTTGTGTGACTTCCTCCTTCAAGACAAGGGTCTGTTCTTGCTCCAGTTAGGAGTTTTTACGTATTTGAACAAGAATAAAGTTTTACATGTCTATAGTGCCTTTCACTCAAAGATCTCAAAGGACTTTCTACCTATAACGTATGTCCCAACCCCTCCCCCTGTGAGGTAGGTATTATTCCTATTATTTACAGATGGGGAAATTCAGGCACAGAGGTTACATTATTTGCCCAGTCACACAGTGAGTCAGTGACAAAATAAAACAGAATCCAGATGTTCTGATTCCTGTTTGCACAATCCAACTACTAATAAGCCTCAGTTTCAAAAGAGCCTTAAACAATTATCAGTGTGCAGAAGAACAGTCTTGGGTTTCAAGGACCACTCCTAAAAAGTGTAGGAAAGGAAGAAAACCAGGAAGGAAAAAAAACCAAACCAAACAAGTGACAGGATACAACCAAGCCAACACAGCTTTAAAGAAAAAGTTTCTGCTAATTCCCCTCCCAAAGCTGAGGCAGCTTGCCTATGAGCCTGGGATACAGAGGGTGGGGAAAGGAGGCTGCTGAAACAAAATTTTTAAACAAAAAAGCAAGCTGGAGTTAACAGCTTTACCGTAAGCCTTCATCTTTTTGAAAGCACAGGATCATAGAAAAATAGGGCCAAGAAAGACCTCAAGAGATCACTGAAGTCCATCCAACCTGCCTTGAAGTCAGGACCAACTACACCTACTCATTCACAACAGTCTAGTTGGTCTGTTCTCAAATACCTCCATCAGTGGGGATGCCATGCCCTTCCCTCTGCAATCTGTTCCACCATGCACTATCACACGAGCGAAAGAGGACAAGTGAGTCTAAGATAGCTACTTCTGCTCCTTTGGTGGGGGTACCATGATTCCAGGCCTATCTAATGATCTGAACACATTTTAGAGAATGTAGTCTCCAGATATTTACTTGTTTCTGTCCTGCATTCCTTGGGAAAACATCAAACACTGGTGTCTGCTGCAGTGTAATATTTGAGTTTTGAAAATACTGATTAATACCAGCATAGATATCAATATACTTACTGCAAGTGCCAAATCCTACAAGGTCAGTAACGAAGACTTTGATATGATAATTTTAGCTCATTGCAGATTCAAACTGCAATAAGAGGGCAGGGAAGACTACAGAAAAACCCCACAGCAAGTCAGCAGCTCAGAGCTGCCAGGTTTCATCCAACTGCAGACAAAAAGCAGGCAGTCAAACAACACGTCTCCAGCAGAGGCAGCACCATATGATCTCTGTAGCATCTCTCCATCTCATCTGTCTTCAAAGTGCATTCTCAGTGCAAAAAGTAGGATTGAATTTAGAGGGGCTCACTGTCCCCAGTGGATTTCATACTAAGACCAGAATTCTTGCTTGAGTTCATATGCTGCAGCTTTGTTTGTGTTAAGTTCACTTCTGCATAGCGGAATGGTGCTGTCCTGGCTCTGCCCCTCAGCATCTATGTCCAACAGTGTCCGCTCCTCTACAGGAAGACCCACCTGGAAAGGAAGCAGTGCAGGCAGTCCAGGTCTCTCTTCTACAGTGCTGCTACTACTAGCAAAACAAGAGTCCAGATTGCTTGGAGTATCAGTACTTGAACTGTTGGCAGAAGATTCACCCTTGGCATTGCTGGGTGATACAAACCACCAGGGATCAAGCCGCTGCCGACCGGCTGCAGGACGTGGCCGAGGCAGGAATTCCAGTGTCTTGGGTCTTTCCAGTGTGGGGTCCTGCTGTGCATTCCACCGTCTCGGGGCTGGAGGGAAAACAAGGTTGGGGTCTGGCAGGCGAGGGACCTCACTGGGATCTCTACTTGGACTAGGTGTTTTTAATACACCTATCCAAAACAGAGGATGTAAGAGAAGAGGGAAACATGTTAGATGTCACTGCTAAATGGTTCCAACAGATCTTAGTTTACTGTATGTATACTGCTAAAACATTTTCAAAGCAGAAAGCCTCCAGTCAGAATCTATGAACTGTGTATCTTCAGGAACACACCAACCTGAAATAACTGTCTTCTTTAACCCTGTGCTGTTTTCAACACATTGCAATACATTGACTTAGCACAAGCAACAAGTTTTGTTCATTCTCTCATTTACTTTCTTCAATTCTCAGAGTGAAGAGCATGGGTTTGACCTCCTGCCAGAGGTGAGGACTCTCCAAATCCTTCCAAGGGCACATTACCCATTAACGACTTGAATGGATCAGGGAGACACTTGCACAGCAGGTTATGCGACACCTATTTGGAGCGAGCAGGACCAACTTCCTGGAGAGTCAATAAACACCACCTACTGTGGACACTTGCTGGTTGCTTTTTGTTTAGGGGTGGGGGATGGTGTTTTCTTTTTTATATAAACACAACATAACTTAAATTTTCATGAATACCATTTTAATGAGTATTCTCAGCTGCATTAACCCACATTTTACTGCAGACTGCCATTCAACAGACAACCTCACATTTTGTTTTACCACTGGGAAAAGTCTAATTAAATCAGATTTTAATTTATTATTCTAGCAATTTTTTTCCCTCTGAATTACTAGGGCAAGAAAACAGGAAAGCATTTTTTTTAAGTTATCAAGTCATAGCTACTCCTAAAGACTGCAACAGTGAAAACACTGCCTACCCAGGAAGATCCCTTTTGCTTGCAAAAGAATAAAAGCAACAGTGGCACAGCCCCAAACTGTTTTAGAGATCCTGTTTTCACTGCCTTAAAGATCAGAATTTACTTTGAAATTGTAACAGCAATACAAACAAGTGTATAAAGGCAATGAATATGGAATACCAAGGAACTGATAAAAACGCACAGCCTTTGTACATTGGTACTATCTAAGAAACAATACTACACTCCGCTTCACAGCACAGGAGAGCAGGGTTCCTTAGCTGAGATGCTGGAACAGAGACCATTACTGCATTATTATTTTCATCACTTGTGTAAAGGCAGCACCCATAAGCTCTTCTTATGGACTGGCCATCACAATGGATGCTGTATAAGCAACATGTTTACTTCCTAACGAGTAGTTATACTCTTTGGGTCTTTATTCTGAAGAGGAAAAGGAAGATGGCTGAAAACCTACCTGCTCCCAGTGCTCCAGTTAAACAGCTACTGGAAGGGCATCCACTGGTTGGGCACCCATTGACAACTAGTCCACTCCCTTTGATGGCCCCATCAGAAGGCGTGCGCCTGTGCCCGCTTTGCTGGGTGTGGGAAGAGAGCGTCACATGGGTGGGAGTCAGGGACTGGTTGGGGTCTTGTTTGAACCTCTCGATCTGGACATTGACTAGTGGGTTGGTAATGGCTGGCAAGGGAGCCTTGACTGTCACCGGGCTGACAGGCATTTCATACACCACAATCTCATCACTGTCTGAGCGCAGCAGGGACCGGGTGGAATTACATTCGGAAATGGAAGACAGGGACAGAAGGGTGAGGGATGTGGATGGCTCGCCTAGCAACAACATGGGATCATCCTTCTTGAAGATCTTTCGGGAAGGTGGACTAGTGCTCCTGCGCGGGCGTCCAGCCCGCTGGAAAAGGCTGTCACGCTTCTTCTTCTCTTCCTTGGGTGCCTCTGGCTCCTCCTCAATCACCAGCTGACACTTCCCTGCTTCTAACAGATCAAAACCCAGGCCTGCAGCAGCCAGCACTGCTCCACAGCCAAGCAATGCAATCTCACATCGCTTGTGGTGGGAGCCACTACGTTTGAGGCTGTTGGTGGGTGTCAGCTGTGGGGTACTAGTAGCAGAGTTCACAGGGGTGGACTCCTCATTGGCATCACTAGAAGGGCCATCCCAGTCTTCATTCTTCTGAAATGGGATGCAGAGGTATGACTGATTGTGCCCGGGTGAAGGGTGCACCTTGCCCTCCCCATTAAGGCATTCACTGTCTTCATCATCTGGAAAGCAAATGAAAACAGACTTTGCATTGATGTAACATTTTCACTGGCAAATTTCACTGTCTTACAAATATACATGAAAATAAGCTTCTCAGAAGATAGAACTGTCCTCATTGCAAGCATCATTCCAAGTGCCAGATACTCATAGGCTACTGCCTTCAAAGCACGCAGGCTGAGACAAATAACTGGAAACACTATCAAAATGTTTGGGATCAACTGCAGAACAGTTTTTCAGAAACAAGTTACACCTCAGTTACTTCTAGAGTAAAATTACATATTTGGGAGTGAGGAAAAAGGCAGGAAAATTACAAGGATCTCTCCTTACAAGTGAAGGTGTAACCATGCTGCATATCTAAATATCATTAACAAGAAAGGATCTGATAGGTAGCATGGTGCTAGAGGGGAACTGAAAGAAGATTGTTTCCTTGACAGATAAGAAGCACAAGCAGAAAGGTAAACAGAAAGAAAATCCAAAAGGAGAAAGTAGTTATTTCACAGAGAATAAAAGAAAACTGGATATCACCTAAATGAAAATATTGCTGTAAGGTACTGGGTGAAGGTCAGGAAAAGAGGTTCATTCAAATGTGAATTGAAGTGGGGATGAGACTATAAAGTCCAGGGAATTCTTTTACCCATCTCTGCTAAGCTGGTGAATCCTGGAAAAGCAGGCGCAGTTCTCTGGATCTTCCCAAGGTTCGGTGCACTGGACGACCACTGCTTGTATCCTTCTACCAGAGCTTTCAGACTGAAACAGTAGAGCGAAATGGGAGAAAATGTACCATGCTCACAACCAGTTTTCATTCCCCCCTTCTATTTTCTACATAGGGTATGCATGAATCCATTTTAACTACACATATTTGAACTCCTCCCATAGCAAGACATTTTGCAGTATCTTTACAGCACCTTAAAATACAAGAAAAGTCAAAAAGTCCCTCCCTCATTTGTTACACCATGGCAGTCAAAAGCCCTCTGCTGATAATGTGAATGCAGAATAATAGAAAACACCACTACAAAAATCAGATGGAATATTTTCCTTCTGAACCAAGGCAAACCTACCATGGCAGGTAAAAAGTAAACTGCTTAGCAGGAGGAGGGGAAAAATATCTCCAAAAACATCTCCATGTGAAATACAAATGAATGATAAAAGTCAAAGATCACTCACTGGGACAATAATATGCTGAAGTCATTGTAACAGTGGAGTCATGCCTCTGTATTATAAATCCCAATATTTGTTCTCTAAAGAAAACACCTCACTGAAGTACAGGCGTTTAAAATAGTATTATGGAAAAACAGGTAATTAAAATCATAAATCATGTCATTGTTTCTTTTACTTACAGACAAAAAAAAAAACAACCCTAAAACCACAAACAAGTGAAAAACTCAAACCCAAATCCTTACTTTGATGCCACCTGCTTTTAAGGGTATGTCACCAGGCACCTGAGCTTATTAGTAGTCCCTATTCATAGGTATTGATTACCATCAACCTGTTTGTTCCCTGCAGTATTTTCACGACATCAGAAACAACTCAAGTAAGCAGCTCAATCTGAACAGAAAGATAAATAGCTACCAAAATAATTTCAAGGCCTGCTATGATTGCCTCAAGGTTATAAAATCTTCATCCTTCCCTTTTATTTTTCATTTCTTCTCTCTCTCCTCCCCAAATTACAAGCAGACCCCAAATACCTGTCCAGAGGATAGCTGGACATCCTCTTAATTAGACAGTAGTGTGCACGTGTAAGCAATTCAAAACATGCTGAGTACATTCCTACTACAGCAATATTACTTTGTTACTGCTCCAAGGAAAAAGCAACTGGAATGATTTGAAAGCATTAGCAGTAAAACTATCTATTTCAGACACCAGCACAATTCAGGAACCTGAAGACTTCCTAACTGTAATTTATTTAGATTAAATAACAGGAAGATTATTAGTCTGTTTGTTGTATTATGGTTGAGTAACTTCTCTGTTGCCTTTTTCTATGGGGAAGTCAAAAGCACCTCTCTTTAGGAGTAATAAGGTGACAAGGCTTATTTACTCAGGAAATTGCAAAAAACTTCCTTACAACTGTAAGACTGCACCTCCAGTGTCATAAAACCATTCTGTAACATTATGTAATATTGAGGCACTAATACAATACTGTCACAAATAAAATGTGTCTATTCTCAGGCTCACCCCTATTCAGCTTGCAAGATTTTAAGAGAGCAATGCTAAAGAACTATGACCACCCTGCATCTAGTGTCACCTTCTGTAAAATGTGTAACACTGCCAGCATGAAAACTTAAACAGGGTAAAGATCACCCATGCCATAGTAACAGCCTGAGACTAGCCAATGCCCAGCTTAAAGACAATTAAGACTTCAGCAGATATCCTTGAGAATATAGCATAAGGTCACAACTGAACTATCACAACACTAGTCCAACACAAAGCTTCATCCAGTCTCTGCAATTTAGCACAGCAACCTTCTGCTGCTGTGCATACTCATGCTCAAAGATAAATGCAGAAGAGTGAATAATCACTGTATAATCTTTTCATGACTGCCTTTACTTATGTTAATTATAGGTCAGTTTACTCATGCTAGAGAATTTCACTGAAATTCCCACAATGTAATTCCTGCATAAGTTTGGAATTACCTTCTGTGAAGACCATGTGGAAAGTGATAAAAAAAGCTGAAGATTCAAGTTTCCTTGATCAGAGTCATGAAAGCAGCTGGAATAACAGCACTGCTGCTACCAGAACAGTCTCATGGAGAAGATTTGAACTGAACTTTTCTATCCTAAGTTTAGCTCTTCATTTTGCCCCATTATCCCCCTACCCTCTAAAATTAGAATTATAAAATAGTAAAAATAGCAAGCACTCAATCTTTTGAGTCACTAGCATTTACTGCAACTCTGCCCCCTTTAATTTAAAGTCTGCAGTGCAGACCTTTAAATTAAGTCTGCATAATCTCAGCAAGAAGTAGTAGTTCATTTTATGCGTTAACCACACTGCCCTCTCAGCAACACTACTGTGTTTCAGATATTCTGCAAAATGCTACAGCTGTATTGGGTCTCCCTGGAAAAGGTGATGACTACTACCCAACATCTCAGTTGTCGGAAGAACACCATAGTTTTAAGAGCAACCATGGTTAGTAAGCAACTTCCCTCCAGCTGTCTGTGCCGAAAAGCAACTCAGTGCTTCAGATTGAACAGAAAACTGAAGAGCTTTATTTCCAGAATTCTAAGAATGTGACTTCAATCAATTTAGAAGTGTTCTTCTTCCAGCTTCAGTGATCTCCTGCCCTTTTATATAATTAATGATTGTAATGCGTGATAATAGGTAAAGCACAGGCAGCATAGTCAAAGCAGCTTCCCCCACATTGCCCTGCTAACACGTCAAGAGTACCTTTGAAGGAGAACATTTTAATGTCATTAGAACACTCAGATCCAGGCTCTCTTGCAGAGGACTGAGATAGTGATGCATTACGTAAATATCTGTTTTCCAAGAATTTCACACCTGAGCATATAATATTAAAAAAAAAAATTATAACCATTTTATTTTCCCTGCTAAAAAATATGGCAGAAGTCAAACTATCAATTAGCAGGGGAAAAACCGTCGAACTCCACTAAAAATAACAAGGCATTCAAACCTCTTAGAAGATCAAAATATTCCTATGTTTAAAGCAGGATTTCAGTAATGATCCATTGTGGTCCTGGTATAAATAATTCAGACACACACACAAAAAAAGAAGCCACAAGACAACAATTTATAGAAATAGTTATCTGCAAAAATCACTTTCAGGATCTATTCACTCAAGCTATGTGTCCTTTTCAAAAGCCCAAAGAGAAGATATGTGCCTGGCTCTACCAGATACTTTTAAAATAATCATAGAATCAGTGAGGTTGGAATAGACCTTTAAGATCATCAAGTCCAACCATTACCCCAGGACTGCCAAGACCACCACTAAACCATGTCACTGAAAGCCTCATCTACATGGTTTTTGAGCACTTCCAGGGACGGCGATTCCACCGCTGCCCTGGACAGCCTATTCCAATGCCTGAGCACCCTTTGGTGAAGAAATTCTTCCTAATATCCAGCCTAAACCTCCCCTGGTGCAGCTTGAGGCCGTTACCTCTTGTCCTATCACTTGTTACCTGGGAGAAGAGACCAACCCCTGTCTTACTACAACTTCCTTTCAGGTAGTTGTAGAGAGTGACAATGTCCTCCCTGAGCCTTCTCTTCTCCAGACTAAAAAACCCCAGTTCCCTCAACTGTTCCTCATCAGATTTGTGCTCCAGATCCTTCACCAGCTTCATTGCCCTTTTCTGGACCTGCTCCAGCACCTCTATGTCCTTCTTGTAGTGAGAGGCCCAAAACTGAACACAGTATTCAAGGTGTGCCCTCAACACTGCTGAGTACAGGGGAATGATCACTTCCCTGGCCCTGCTGGCTGTGCCATTTCTGATACAGGCCAGGATGCTGTTGGCCTTCTTTGCTGCCTGGGCACCAGCTGGCTCCTCCGTCAGCTTGTTGTTCACCAGGACCCCAAGAACACCCCCAGGCCCTTTTCTGCTGAGCAGCTTTCCAGCCACTCTTCTCCAAGCCTAGAATGTCGCATGGGGTTTTTGTGGCCCAAATGCAGGACCCGGCACTTTGCCTTGTTGAACCTCAAATAATAGCATTTAGGACAAGAAAAAGCATACCCATGAATTGTAAAAGAGAAGTAGTTTCAGCTATGATATGTAAGTATAGAAAGTTGAGCCTGGAAATAAAGAAAAGCTACTAGAGAAACAGTTTTCGCAGCTGAGTTCTACTGCTTACAAATACACATACCAAGGTAATAGCAGACAGTGAAAGCATCAGTCAGTGCTGTACCTCTAACAAGGGCCTGACTGCAATGCAGTTTTGTAATCTCTAATATTTCTGGTATAGAAAATAAGTTTGGAAGCAGAAAAGCGTTTGCAAGAGGAAAGGCAAGTCTCCTGTGAGCCAGCTCATAACCGATTTTAGAATGTAGAAACCAGTCTGCTTCCAGGACCTCTCTTACCCATCTTCTCCTGCACCTAGCTCCTTGTGACAAAGCGAGCTCGGTCCCCAGGTGCGTCCCTTTTTCTTCTGGCCTCTCTTCTCTTCTTCCTCTCCTTCCTCCTTTGGAAGGACTGAGCTTCGTCCCCACGTTTTACTGCTTTCAGCTGGAGTCACTTCACAAGTGGGAAGAACAGCGGAAAAAGGGAAAGAAAAAAAAGATATACAAATTAAAGAATTGGTTCCACAGCAACATGAAGAACAAAACATAGGCTGGAACAGGAATAGTAATGAAAACATCCATTCAGGCTTTCTTCCCACAGTTCTGACCATTTATCATCACAGATCTAACAACCACATTCCTTCAAAATTAGTATAGGTAGGCTTTACAGCTTTATGCCATCACTGGTTTTAATTTTAGAATCACCAGTTTGATACCAGACATACAAGTGTCGTGATACCCAATACAAGCTCTACACATTAATTAACATCCCTTTCATACTTCTCAACATGCTTGTCTGCCTAATTCTGGTTTATTATGGGAAATTATTTTCATAACAAGCACCTTTGTTTTCCTTTCCTTCCAACAGTAACTTAATCCACCTCAATAACGTTTCACAAATCTGTTCTGCAAGTTAGAACACCCAAGCAATGTATTCTTGTATACAAACAGCAATATTTCAAGAGCTTGGGTAAGTCAGGTTTGGATTCCAAAGAAGGTGATACTTCGCCCCCCATCACCAGCACACTCCGTTTTTATCTCCAAATGTATACATGCAGGACACAAGGCAAACATTTTACGAACAGTTTCTTTACAGTCCTGTCCTAGATATGGAATCTTGGCATCTTACCACGCTGACAGACTGCACATTTCCCAAATTCAATACTACATTGAGCTCCTTACACTGTATGGCCCTGAGTCTGGGAATAATGGTAGGACTTGCAGGAGGGCTGGAGCAGCTACTGATCAAGCTTTTCCTTTTATCCATCGTTGGAGAAGCCTGCACAGTGAATTTATGCTGAAAATCTGTTTCCCAAAAGAAAAAAAAAAAAAAAAATCAAAACAAAACCAGAAAGACAATTAAAATTCTTTCCTTTAATACAAGAGAAATGAAATAATAATTCATGCTGTCAAAGAGTGCAATTCATAGAATCTATGTAGAAATGAGGTTTTACAGTTAATAGGTATTCCTCTGTTGTACATACAGTTACTTCAGAACAAAGACGTGCGTTCACACTCACAAAAATATATCATATTATGCATGAGATACACACACACATATCTCCATGTGTTGACTGACATTTAAGCCAAAGTATACCCCTGGATAAATTCCTTTCACTTTCTCTCAGTTTAAGCTAAGCAAAACCACCAGCAATATGTGTTTAAAGACCTAAAGAAAAGCCTAGTTAACAAGCACATTTTACCATTGCTCTTCTGAACAGACAATCTCTCTCAGAAAACAAAGAACACAGCGTAAGCCATGATCCTTGAGGTAATGATGGATCAGCCTCAGGTGATTTACGAAACCAATGCTTTTCGTTTTCACAAATTTCTTTCACAAATTTGAATCTCCCTAAAGAATCCACAGCAGAAATTACAAGGATTCAGTATTTCTGAAAATCACCATGTTCACTCTCTTAAGAGCGACTTCCCTGACACCCCACTGATATTCAACATTTTCTTCCAGAAGGGTGGTACTAGAGGTCACTTGTGTGTTAATGTGAGTTTACATATGAAACTAGCAATGTAGGGCTGTAGTCTCACAGCTATTAACTTTTTCGATAATTTTTAGATTCCTGCACCAATAAATCCAGTAGATTATGTCTTCTGCTGCAGCATTATGTAAAATATTACTAATGCAAGAACCTCCATAATTTTTAATGTACATCCTTTATTAAATTGATCATTTTGAGTACCAAATTGTTAAACTGCAACACCAATATTTTTACCATGGACCATATACAGCTATTGACTAACAAAGCCATAGCATCTCAAACTTACTTCTGTCCTTTGTATTTGCAATTTTGGGGAATGCTAGCCACAAGATGGTCATATTTTCTGGAGTTTCTTGATCTCAAGAAGCATGTTTTTCCCAAGGTATCTCAAATACTTTCTAGATTCTATGATTCTAACGCGTAAGTATCAGTGGAAATGAGCTACAAAAGCTACAGGTTCACCTGTTCTTCCCATTTCACCTGACAGCCTAACATACGACCAACCTGAAGGCAGGCTGATATGATTGCCATCTTTTAACTTGAGCCGGTTCCTCTTGAACTTCCCCATGCGTTTCTTCACTCGAGGCTTCTCCTGACACAGCTGATGGATAATGATGTTGAGCTCCCTTTCCAGGATGTCAATCTCACGTTCTGCCAGCTCCTGTTCCCTCCTTCGTAGCAACTCCTCATGGTTCTTCTGTTCAACAGCAGCACGAGTCAGCTCTTCTTCCCATGTGCGCAGCTCCTGCAGGGAGAGAAGAAAGGAGAAACAAAAAACTACCTTGTGACCTGTGGGTTAAGACTAACACTATACATTCTGAAGGTACAGCAGCAATGACTTGTGCTCGCAGCACTGCTAGCATCACTGTTTAAAGACCCAGCTGAAAGCCAAAAGCAATCCTCAAGAACTTCTATGCCTGCCATTCAAGGCCCTTCATATCAGTGCCAAAATTTGGATATCAGCATTGTGTGGCCACATGCAGAATCCTGTGTCCAGTTCTGGGGTCTCCAGAAAAAAAGATATGGGCATGGAAAGAGTCCAACAAAGGGCCTTGAAGATCATTAAGAGACTGAAGCATCCCTCCTCTGAAGGAGCGCTAAGAAACATGGGACTGTTTATCCTAGAAAAGAGAAGGTTTGGGTGGGGGAAAAGGGGATCTTATTAATATATATAAAAGCCTGAAGGAAGGCTGCAAAGAAGATAGGCCAGGCTCTTTCCAGCAGTGCACAGTGACAGGACAAGAGGCAATGGGCACACAGGAGATACCCTCTGAAAGCTCTTTTACCGCGAGCATTACTGAACACTGGCACAGGTTGCCCATAGAGGTTGTGGAGTCTCCCACTTTGCAGACCATCTGGACAAGGTCCTGGGCAACTGGCTCTAGCTGGCCCTGCTTGGGTAGGGGACTTGGACCACGTGACTTTCAGAGGTCCCTCCAGCTTCAACCACACTGTGATTCTGTGAAAAGGCACTGACACCTAAATTCATTGTCATGAGAAAATACTCTGGATATCTAACATGAACATGTTTACAAGAGCCATTGAAGAGTACCATGCATACAGGAACCCATTTTGGAAGATTTATTCATAATACTCAAAAGAATCAATCCTTGCTTTCCTCTTCAGTAAGTACCTATGTTAACTTCAGTAATGACTTAAACTGTTTAAAAATAACCTTGCCATCTCATTCATCATAATAGCAAAAAACACGTCTCTAACAAAAATGAATGAGGAAAACATCAGGGGGCCATTCCCATCATTTTCCACCAAGCATGGCTGCTCCTTAGGCTTAAAGATGCATAAGGTAAACTTTCCAATTTTTCCCTTGTTGACAAAATAAATCAACTGAGACTGTTCTTGAGATCTCAAAATGTCTTCTTACTGCACTCTTCTTATCACAAGGACAAAAGAATTCAGAACTCAGAATAATTATCTCCAGCTGGCTAGTTTTACTGCAGAGCTAAAAACTGAAGACTTCAAGCTAAACTTCAGATAGAATACAGACAGATTTTAGTTTAGATTATTTTTTTTATTTTAGTGATGTCACTATTATCTGTCCCAAGATGATGAAGGTGAAATTTGGTACATTTCACTCCTGAGGTGAACAGGATATAAATAGTTCTTTCTCTCTGCCTCCCAAGTCCAACTTCTAAGCCCAAATCAAGTTGGCTACTTATTACAAAATTATTTTTAGGCAACAGACCATGAACTTTTATAAAAATATTATTAGTGATTCCACTGCAGAATTTCACATCAACAACTGTAAAGATAGTCCCTGTAAGAACTTAAACATAGATGCAGCAAGCTGTGCTTTCTGCAAGTATGCTTGAAGAAAACTTCAGCTTTTTCACTTCAAATCTTGGAGGCTGTTGGCCACAATTCCTTTTATTCCTGCTAGCATTTTTGTTTCCTGTTATTTACCCAGATGGACTTCAATTGTAACAGTTATTAAAGCATTCCCCTGGTAGCACTCATGCTTATTATAGTCTATCCATCCACTTTGGCTGTGCTTAAAACCTGGAAAACACAAACTTGACAGAATCAAAGCTTTAATGCTTGCTACACTATATATGCTGAATCCACCTCCCCTACATTTATACCATTAACAGTTATCATTTGGCTTCTCAATTAAGATCTAACAGTGAAATAGCTATCAGAGCATTAAACAATAAAGACAACTCATCATAGCAATTTGTACAGTGTAAAATGGAAGCTCACTACAATAAGAGTAGCAGCTCAGAATGGAGATATTTGTTTTACTCATGATTCCTCCCTTATGCGCATCATAACCTGTCATTGATTTGGGGACTTATTCTTACCTTTTCTTTGGCTCTGAGCTGATCAAACATCTCTTGGATCTCTTGTTTCCAGTCTTCCTGCAGGGAGTGGAAGGAATCTTTGGGCATTTCAAAGAAACCAGACTCTTCTATGGCGGTGAGATGGTCTAGGATACTGGCAAAGGAAGGTCGTGAGTGTGGGTCAGGGTTCCAACAATCTAGAATAGGTCAAAGACAAGCAGCTGTTAAGCATCTCTTAGTATGAGGTTTGAGAAGATGAGTAGTACTTTACTGATCCCCAGTGGCTAAGAGTAGCATGCACACTATCTGTGTTACCTCATCTTTCCCATTTCCCACTTGCATTGATTATTATACGTTCATAAGTCAAGTATGAATTTCACGCTTTCATGTTTATACAATACCCAGCATCACTTAACATCTTGAACTAACTGGTCTCTAGGTTCTATTGCAGTAATATGCCATGTAAAACAGAAGTTTGCTAATTTTACAGGAAGTCACATTTTCAAGAATATATTAAAAATCATAACTAATTTCTTTAAATATTTTGCTTTAAGTTGTATGTGCTGATAGACTGGAGACACTGTGCAAGATCTGCAAACAATTGTTCTATCACACTTACATTGCAATGTTAACAGCCATACTGCAGGATATGCTATCAGAGTTCTTTCTAATACTAAGCTGAGTCATTATGAATCTCTTCCACAGAACTGAACATCTCTCCTGTAAAGCAGACTGGGAATCAAGCAAAACTTGAGTGAAAACAGGAGATTCAAGCAAATAATGACACCAGATAGTGCATTTTCAGTTTTCTTATTGTTAAGGGTTCTTTATTATTTGAGAGAAAATTGTTTGAACAGGCTTTTTTCTTTTGCTTTTAAGAGAAACCACAGATAAATAAGCTTTTTCATTTACAATCTAATGTAATAACTTACCCAATTACAGAGCTCTAAAACCACAGAATGTAAGGTCCTATCTGACCACATGAGGCAACTCAACTAGCAATAGTACAAAAAGGTACTCCCTCTACAGTGATGGGAATTGAATGTTGAAAACAGAAACCAAAATAGAAAATGGTATGAAGCAACATCTCAAGCTACAAAAATCATTAAGAACATGTTTTTAAAATGCCATTAAGTCAAAATGTTTTACTTAACAATGCTTTTGAATAGCAAATTCTTTCTTATTCAGTTCTCTCCCCTAACTTCAATCATTTCTACTCCTACAGAAAGCATCACTTTCTCACACTGTATTGTCCCATACTGGCACTTACACAGGTTCTTGCTCAACAAGTATCCTTATTCTCTTTAGTACTGGTAGATGCCTGCATGCCAAAAGTGGAGAAGAAGCAAACAGAAAAAACTTAGCAATCAAGTATATTTCTAAGGAATACAGTTTTTGTGCATGAGTGGAAGAAACTAACACATGGTTAGTTTCATGTTGCTCACACTATCAGAATGCTCATACTATCATTGCTTTAAGTGGTCACTGGATTTCAGGTACACATTACTGCAGCACAAGGCAACAGTTATAAAAATGTTCTAAAATTTCTTGGACCTTATAGCTGGAAAAAAGAAAACAGGCTTAAAAAAATGTTGGTGATGTCTTAAAAGACATTCATTCATCAGTTTTGTGGACTGAAATAAAAATTCACGAAATCTGTGCAACTGGTGAGGCTCAGTTTTGCAGGTCTTTCCTTTGATTTTAGCATTACTGAGATTTTGCATTTGGGAGCTTTGGTTTCAAAACTGCTGGTATCAAAATGCTGGTATGTAAGCATCTGGTCAGGTTCCAGGAGGCATAAACTGGAACACATTTGTGTTTATGGATTTCAAATTGCTTCTTTTATCAAAATAGAGTACTGAGGATGTTAAAGAGCACTTTGAAAGTCCCCTGCTGCTGACCAATTAGTAGCAATGTGCGATACAGCTGGACTGTCAGTGCCATAATTTGTACTTCTTTACCCCAGGTTTTAAGCATGGCAAAGCAAATGTGACCCAAAGTAAAACAAAATGCCACAGCCAGCCAAATGCATGAATGAATGAGTGAACAGGATAACTATGCAGGTGGCCTGTGGCTTTTATTTTCCCAGGCCGAGATTTGCCATTATTTGCACTAATGAGGACAGTTGTAACATACAAGTCTTTTCTGTAAGGAGGGAAAGTTCAGCTCTGTTGTCTCAGCAAAGACCACCAGGGCAGTCATTCAAAAGTAAAAGCAGCAATAGGGGAACAAGAGTTCACCCGAGATGGGAAACAACCTGTTTGAAAAACAGTTTTGGTGAAGGGGTAGAAAGTAATTGTTTTCTTGTTCTCTTCTTCCCCCTTGCACATGGAGAAGCAGAGCGTTCCAAAGGCATGTGGGTGCTCCCCTGTGCTGCTGGGTTCAAGCACTGGCCATGCGTATCTACCCAAGTTTCCCAATAGAGGGCATTATTTTTAATCCCAGCAACAGATACCTCACTTATAGTTAAGAAATCAGGTTCCTTTTTCGGGGAACTGCATCAAAATAAATTGCCCTGGCGTAGCACTGAGCTTGTAGTTGCATTAACTCTTTCAGATGCACTTTCTTACTTTACACTGCTTCCAAGCTACCATACCTGCAACTCTGCTCCCGTTTACTCTCCAGTAATTGTTCTCTAGTGCTATATTTCCAGTAGTATATTTCTTTTTTAGCACAACAGCATGTGAAGTTTTCTACTTTGGTTATTTCTGTATGTGACAGGCTTCAGTTAAGTTAGAGAAATGCAGAAGTATTATAAAAGCTGAGAAATCCATCAGAAACATTTTCTTGCATGATTCAAATTCATCTACTGGGGATAAAACACCACCAGGGGCCATAGAGTATCAGCTCTATGTTCAGACTCATTCTCTGCTTACCGAGACTATAAGACATGTTCGATTTCTCTTTACTTCAGTTTTAATTTCTACCAGACAAGTATAAATGTGTTTATTACCTATAAACACCTGGAAATCCTTAGGAACAGGGTCACTGAAAAACACACTAAGGGTACTACTGTGAGAGAGAGAGGAAAGGAAGGAGTGAGGAAGGGAGGAACAATTGAAGCTCAGGAGATACGTAAACAGTTGCAATAGCCAGCAGAGCAGGTCACATAAGTACACCCAAAAGCTACCTCACAGAATCCTTTTTAATAACTACAGAAGCTCTGATAACAAACTCCTATATTACTTTCCTCCATATGTAGCCTACTTTAGGCATGAACTATCTCCACACACAAAGCAGAAAAATCACATCATTCTGACTGATAATATGGGTTGTTTTCAAATGTCAAAGCCACATTTAAATCCTCTCCCTGAAATGCCAGTAGGATAAAGTTTCATTCCAAACCAGACACTGCCTAGCAAGATGCTCAAGCTATGAATTTCAAATAAAGTCAAAGACTTCAAACTAGACCAATATATGTGAAGTTTTGGCGTTGGTGAGTCTTCAGTACTAGAAAACAAGAAGCTAGATGACAACAGCAATAGCCCCCATTTTCCTACAGAGCCAGTTGATTAAAAAATGGCAGGAAAATTTCTTTCACATGCTACTCTTGTAATAGAGTAACTGTCACAGCAACACTAACAATCAAGCCTAGCTCCCATCATAACTTGCACCACTGAATACAGCCAACTGAGAAATCCATGCTCTAGGTATCGGAGCCAACACAAGGAGACTGCTCAACAGCACTCTAGATACAGCACAAAGCATACTCACACCACTGCTGGCTTACCTTCCATGAGTTTGGCAAAAGGCTCTGGACATGTGGAAGGGATTGGAAGGGCAAGTTTATTCATGGCAACACCGTATGCTACTGCAAGACCATCAATTCCTCGGAATGGTACTTCTCCTGTTAGCAGTTCCCAAAGCAGCACACCGTAACTACCAGGAAGAAAACAGAAAAGACAATAGGTATTTGACTTTAACATGTTCTTTGTTAAGCAACAAAAGAAGTACCTGAACCTACCAGGGTGAGTCTGGTATACTGAAGAAATAGCGGTTTTCTGGACAAGCTCATCATGGCTGCCAAGCTGGCAAAGTGCCTTGTTTTACCTGCCGCTCTTTTTCAATAAGACTGAAATAGCCATTTTTGCTTTTTAGGCAAAAATAATTTTCTCTCTGGAAACTGGGAACAGTCTGGGAAACAGTAACAAAAGCTTTCTGACTAATTTAGCAGGTTTCAAGTCAGAAGCCAGTGAAACTCTCAAAAATGTGAAGGAGGGTTGTTTGGTGGGTTGAGATTTTTACAAATAACTGAAAAATACTTCTTCAGAATTCAGTTGTTCTTAAAATGTTCTATGAAATATTAACTATGAAGTTACAGAAATAGTTCCAGGACTGTTCTTTCCCCAGGTATATGACAAACAACATATCTTCAGAACATTCTTTCCGTTTCTAGGAAACCTGAACCACAGACAGCTTCTTCAGGCTTAGTGACCTGACAGTTTTTTCTTCAATTGATTCTCATATTCTCTTCTGAACCCATTTACCATACACTATGTCCTGTGGTAATGAGCCCCACAAATTTAATGATGCATTACCAAAAAATAATTCCACATGTTTATTTTGGGCTTGTCACTAGGTAATTTCGTTTGCTTCCCTGCAGTTCTTTCAATACAAGAAAGAATGAACATACATTCCCTATCAACTTCTTCCATGTCATCTGCGATTTCACAGTCTCCCACTACATCCTGCCTAAATCATTTTCTTTCCAGCTCCCAAAATCCTATTCTAGCTAAATCCTAACCTAGTTACTCTCCTAAAGAGAAGACATTTCATATCTTTCATTGAACTTGACATCTTCTTTTAGAATGACCAAAATCACAAAGTTTTAAAGATACATGGAGAGGCACAGTATTTCCTGTTTTCTTTCTTTCCCATTAAAATTTACTTTGCCACTTGCCTTTCTGACTCCTTACAACATGAGCTAGGGTACGCACAGTAACTCCAATAGCTTTTTACTGAATCATAACAGTAAAATTTAGAGTCCATCATTATACATGTGAAATTCTCCCCCTGCGTACTACTTTGTATTTATTACATCTACTTTATCATTCGTTACAGTAAAACTTTTCCTCAGCTTTCTGCAGATTAATTTTTCTTATCATGAATAACTTGGTATCATCAGCAAACGTCACCTGGCCATTTACTGCTTTTTTCTAATCACTTACGATTATGTTGAACACACAATTCCCCAAGAAAACCAATTTATTCTTCTAGTAACTAAGAACTAAGTGGTGGGAAACAGACCTGTCCTCTTCCCCCCCATCAATTTACTTTCTTTAAAACGTTTTGAAGAAAGACTTTGTTTAAAGTTTTCATAAATCCAAATATGACATAAGCAACCTTACCACATGTCCACATAGTAACTCCTTCAAGGTATTATTTTCATCTAACGAAAGCTGACTCTTCCCCAGATATGCTTATATGTCCACCAGGTCTTTGGTCTTTAGTGCTGTTTCTACCATTTAGTAGAACTCAAAATCAGACTTGCTGATCCTCAGGAAGCTCTTTTAAGACCTGTCATCATGTCTGCTGCCTTCCATTTCCTCTAGCACTAAGGCAGCTTTAAGCAACATACTACACAGCACAGCTCTGTCGTGTTCCTGTAGAAATCTTCAGTGCCACTGTAAGTTCCAGCAAATTGTTACTACCCATTTTCTCAGTCAGTTTTAACACCTCTGTGGACAGCATTTCAGCATGAGATGTCTTCTAGCCCAGCTACCCTAAAGAGAAATTTTCAGCTTAAAAAGCCATATGTTCTCCTGCAGTGTTCTCACCTGTGCTGCATTTGAAAGCAATTTGTTTGGTTTTATGGTTTTCACAAGACTCTCCTCAAAATCATTTTAATCTTGAGTGTTTTACATTCAACTTGCCAGCACGTAAGTCCATGCCTGATTTTCCTCATCTGGATACAGGTTCATCCTTCTGAAGGATGTTATCCAGTAGTCTCTTCTACATTGTCTTCTTCATTCATTTAAAGGCTTTCCTATGCATTTCTCTGAGCTTTAACATAGTGTCCTTAAAAGATAACCACGTGCCATGTTCCCCTTTTGTTGTTTTTAAGCAAAATTCCTCAGTGTTGTCATTAGTCTCTTTGATATTAAATGCTACTGTAACAGACTGATTTTTCTTAATTGCTCTGGCAAAGATATTAAATCTAAGTATACATTTATTTTCATCACAGTCATATTGAACAGTTTTGAAAGCCTCTCCTAAGCACACCTAAAGGCCAAATGAAAAGCTGCTTCTCCTAAATGCTCCCTGCACAGCTGCTCCATGAAACAGCAATTTCTGAAGCTAAAAGATGAATCTCTTCTTGTTTCAAAGCAGAAAGTTTGGGAGTAACCAAAGTTTTCATTATTTCATTGCAACCTGTACCCTTGCAATCTTCCCCCCAACCCATCAAGTTCATTGTAACTGCTGCTGTTGGACAGTCTTAACACTACTTTTCCTATTTAGATACGGAATTTCAGTCACTAGAGATTCCACCTTTGCTGCTAGCACAGCTAGTTTACTTTATTAAGCAAAATACCGTATTTTTTCACCTATACACTCTTTTTCATTTTCCTGTGTAATTCATACTCTTAATATTATAACTGATTATTTCTTTCCATCCAGATTCTCAGTTTCTGACTATCTCAAGAGACTCACTTGAAAAAAATAAATAGGAGTTTAAGAATTTCCTATTTTCTTTTTGTTCTCCTAGGATTCATATGACTCAAACAAAAGGAATCCTGGACTGAATATATATTTGGTCTGTCTAAATCTGATTGATTTTTCATGTTATTCTTCAATTTGGGTGAAGTGTTGATACCAAAAGGTAGGAAAAGCTACCAAACACTTTTGTTATTACTTCACCACTAGTGCCAAGTAAAGCATGTGTTAGATAGTTTTTGTAATGGGATGGTTAGGAAAGCACTATTGATGTGCTCAAAGCATTTCTTCTGCAGGGTAATTTTTAAAAAGACAAAGGAATGGACAGATTGCAGGAAAGGTTACTTTGTTTCTGACAAAGCTGAATCCCACCTCTTCTTCATGTATTTACAGTTCATTGCTGATAAATACTGCTTCGGCAAAACTAGGGAAACACCGCTTGGTGGTATTTGAACAACAATCATCCCAAGTGGTTAAACAGCAAGAGAGGTGCTGAACAGAGTAGTTTCCATTAATTCTCAAGCAGATGATTGGGAATTCCAAAGGAAAAAGCCAGAGACAGAAGAGATTTATACAAAAAAAAAAGGCATAGGAAGAAAGAACCAAGGGCCTCTCCTCATTCTCAACAGGGAGGAAGAAAAATTTACCAAGCTTGTTTATTCTTCCAGCACACAGTAGCAATTTTTGGGCTTTAATTACAAAATCAGCCATGTGATACAGACCACACATCCAAGTCAACTGACACTTGTATGAATAATTAACCATCTCCCAGTAACCCAGTAATCCCTTAAGCCATTTAAGATCAGGTCCAATGCTGCAGACTGGATTTTCAGGGAGAGGGAGGCTGAAGGTCTGCAGGATTTCACATGTGATTTTGCCACCTCTCTTGTAAGTCTGTGAACTTACAAAAAAAACAGTAATTTCTTCTCACTGTTATTGCTCATTAGTTTTTGTACCATAGGTTGCTCTTAGACATGTCCTTAGGTACAGCGCTTTCCATGAGAAAGGAACTATTAGCCCAATAAGGAAATACCAGCAACAACAGAAACTAGACCATTTATGCATTACTTTTGTTAAGAAATAAACTTCATTACATTTTAATGGCTATTAACAGTTAGCATTTTGCATGTTATCAGACTGGCAGTTCCAGGGACGACATTTCCTGCTTCTCTCACAACTGCCAGTTGCAACACTTCTCCCACATGAGCTTCTACCAACATTGCTAGTCAACGTTTATCTGCCAGCTACTGAAGTCTTGCCAGTGCTTCATTACACACAGAAGACTACAGAAGCCTTCAAGCACTAAGTTGTAGATGAAATGCTTTCCAACACCTGATTCAGATGAAATATTCTAGTGACTGAAGTTCTTACACCCACCACTGAAACATCTTGATCTGCTAATCAGATGTTTTGGGTAGTTCTGGTATTCCATTCCTAAATGAAAACTAAATTCCTAATTATTTCACTGGTTTCAGAGTAGATACATCTTAAAAACATCTAAACTGAGGAACACGGGGAACTCAGATGAAGGTTGTACGGTGGCTTTACATTCTGCATACCAATCATACTGACAACATGATTGTCTTTTAAGCAGTACAAGTCAAAAACCAAAGTGTGCAGCAAACAAGAAATACATTTAAGCAGTTAAAATGACAGGGAAATTCGAATTATATGTCTACTGCTTACTGTACAGTACCAGATAAACTGCAATATCTGTGCTACCTCCTCACCCCTGTAAATGCAAAGCAAATGCATAACTCTCAAACACAAAACTGATATTTTAATAAAACCGTAGCTTCTTTGTCCTCTGTGCAATATAAGCACAAGTTTTCTACTGCACAGCTAAAGCTTGCGGGTGCAGCACAGCAAAACTCGCAACAACAAAGTTCCTCTAGCAAGATGTACTAAGTGCTGTTGTTATCAATAAGCTTTGCAGCGGCCCAGACCCTGGTGATAGACACCAGTGTGTGTGAAGATTCCTCAGCCCTGTAAGTTTTTGCCAACCCTCCTTTAGAGTGGGACAAAAGAAAATGGAGTTTGATACATGTGTTGAAAGGAATCGCATGAAGCAGTTAGTTATGGTAAGACTGGCAATTTCAGTCCTGGCAAGCATCTTCTTCACCTGTTTGTGCAGCAAGATCAAAAGCAGAACAAAATTGCTGTTAAAAGGTTGGGCAGCAATTCAACCAGCAGTATTATTCTAATAAGCTTTAAAGAAAAGGTATTGAAATAAAAGGGTTTGTGACTGCTAATAGACAGAGACAGACAATTTTGTTGATGCTGCACAGACTAACTGGAAGGTTGTCAGGCAAAAAATTTCCTTGATTCCAGTGATTAACCAAGAGGTTGAAGTGGACAAGAGGAGGGGCAAGCCTAATAAGGATAAAAAAGTTCATCCTGTTAAGAATTTCAAATTGCATCCTTGGGTGGGGACAGGATTTATTACACACGACCATGACCGCCTTTGCAAAATCTAGTGCTTACAGTCATTGACATAACGGCAGTGACTGCACTGGCAAGTATTTGTCCTCTGCACACATGCTTCAAACACCATGTTCTTTTCAGCTTATTTAACTATGACTCAAGGTTTTGGCCACCAGAGAGAGAAAGCTTATTCAGAGACAGTATAACAGCTCTCCTAATGTAGATGATCCTCTGTGTAAGGAAGAGCACTGACAAAACCTCAACCTGTTTTCAAGGGAAGACTGGTAACTATAAAAAGAGGAAATTATGAAAGAATCTTAAAAACAGAAATAAAATACCCTGAAAATATTCTAACAAATAATTTCAGTTATTTACAATCCTTAAGTCCTGAAGTGATTCACAGTGCTTAAGTCAATGACCAAACTGCTATTTTTGCACGGGTATAGAGGCACTTGACCTACCATCATGAAAATCACCAACTGACCTATTATGTCTTATCTTTCTTAAAATGAGGTCATAGTGGTACAGAACATCTTCCCATCTGTTCACAGCATGCCCGGATTAGTAAAGTTACAATCACAGGGAAGTTGTTTCCCACTTCCCTTCTCCCTCTCCCCCAGGTTACCTTTAAAGGCCATTCCTGGCACTGTTTCAGAGAAGAAAGAATTGAGGTGTGAGCTTGACAAGCTGTGTACAAACCAGTACTGTCATCATGTGCACAGAAAAGGTGCACAGGCTTGAGGTTTTCATTTCTGCCAGATTTTGCTCAGAATAAAACCTTTGCTTAGTTTGTCTCAGATTAACGACAGAGGCTATCACATTTAATTACAGAGTCACAATTTTATCCACACCATTAGTGCACAAAATACAAGTTCACAGACTTAACACAAGGCAATATATTATCTATTCAGCAAAATCGGAGGAGGAAAATTAAACTCCTCACATCAAACCTCTGCCATAAGAGCCAGACAATTCTGATAAATTTCACAGCATGCACATACTTGTGCATGAGCATTACTGGCCAGCAACAGAATTAGACTGCTCTAAAGACAAAGTCACCCTGACATTTCAATACCTCTCCCCCACCAATAAATTCCATCTACTTCATCTGTTTCAGATGTTCAGTACTAATTCTATGTCACACAGCATCCAGAAAAGTCATTGTTATAGAACTATTTACCAAATTCTGCATTTACCAATCCACTTAATGGTCATATTCAAACTCCATTTCTGGAAGTCTATGGGCTGGCCCTTACACTACTCCCCACCGAAGTAGCTCCTACTCTCAAAAATCCCAGTGCATGAATGGAAGAGACAATATTTACATGCAAATTACTACCAATGGATTAAATACTCGGACGGAACTAGAGATATATTATTTCATGTAAAAGACTAGAAGGATGGATATAATTCATAAGATTATTACAAAAGTGAAAAATGTATCCATGCTGAAACTGCACAGGGAATTCTGCTAGATACAGTGCGTTTGTGTACACATACATCAGTGATACATGACTACCAAAACCATAAAATGATTTTACTGTTGGTAAAACAACAAAAAAAACAGTAATTTAAAGTACTTCACAGTTTTATGGCCTTCGATTATGTGAGCCAATAGCCAAGTAAGCACAAAAAAGTTTGTTTTAGATTCAGCAGAGGGAATTGGGATTATGAATCCTAGGATAATTTGAATGTAAATTTATAGAACAACAAAAATTTAGAGGCATGCAGGAGCTGGCTCACCACTTCCTACAGTAAAAAATAAAGTTTACAATCAATGTAAAGTAGTCCAAGAATCTGATAGATGGAAAGCTGGTGGATAAAGCTTTCTTAAAACCTGAATTTTAATATTTGGTTCACCGTTACTCATCCTGAAATGTAAGAGAGATTTCCTAGCAGGTCTAGTTACTTTCTAGTATCCAATCACTTAATGCCAAATGTATACCTCCACACATCGCTGCCTTTGGAGAACATGGAGGAGCGGATGACCTCAGGAGCCATCCAGGCATATGTCCCAGCTGCGCTCATTTTGGTAGTTTTATGCCATTCCCTGGCCAAGCCGAAATCCGTGATCTTCAATATCTTGTTGCTCAGATCTCCATTTTCCACCTTTTCGAGTATCAATACTGGAGAAAAGGGAAGGGGGGGAATAAAAGGTATGCAAAGTAAAGCTAGTATTCATGCAAAAAAGATCCTCCTGGAGATCTTCCCAATTTCAAGATTCTCCCTGACTTTTTGCTATTCAAACATACCACACTGTTACAAGTTATTTTAAGCTGATCCCTTTATCTGACAAGTGATCAGTTGTCTAGCAAATAACTTCAAATTTAACCAAAATACCAAGCCCCAGAGAACAAACAGGTAACAACATGGTAATTTTATATAGTGCCTAGTGTCATTCTGCATAATAATTCTCTGCTAAGAGGAAGTGAACCACTGTAACTTCTAGAAATCCAGATAAGGGAAGACATTTCCTAATTAATCCTCTCTCAGCAAGCCAGTAATAGCATCTTTTTCTTGAACTGCTTAGAGGACTTTTTTATTTTAAATCCAGATACACACACATGCTGGAAACACTCTTCATGTAAATGTGTCAGTAGTGAAAGGTCTACGTTCACAGTTGGTTGCGGGGGGAGGGAGGGGTGTTTAAGTCACAGTTAGAAGAAATAATATTTATGATCAGTAATACCATGCTCAGTTCAAGACATCATACAAAGCACCACCATGTTATAGACTCCCCCCATCATTATGAAACTATTTTTTTAGTTCAGCTGCCAAAGTTTCTACCATGTTTCAGTGGCAAAGGAGTCTCTTCCCAAGAACTAACTTAAACCAACAAACTTGAGGAGGCAGAACTCGGGAATGCTTTGGTATAAATATTCCTCTTTAGCCAGAAAGCTGTATTGTTATCCCACTGTGAAATGCTTATAAACCAGAGGCCAGAAGTATTCACTGTGCTTTAGCAGCGCCTCATTATTCTCGTTCTTTATCTTAACGTAAAGTGACCATGAAAGGTGGGCCAGCAATGTAACATCAAGCAACAGAACATAATAAGCCACTCAACTTCCATAACTACCACAGCCATGGAAAGATTTTAACTCGTAAAGAGCCACAAAGAAAACAATATTTGTATTGCCATGAGTAAATGACTTCACAGTAAAAGGCATCAAGCCCCTAATACACCATCATTATGCAGCTACTCAGTTTTTAATTTTATTAGACACAGGTTCTTAGAAAACAAAGCGGGGATTTTCCCCTTTCTATGTATATGTGCGTGAACTGAATAAATTAATAATAAAACCCCAAACAACCAAGCAACCTACAACTAGCCATGGATCATAACAAAACCTATAAAAGGCAAAAACATTGCAAAAATTACCGTACATACAAAAATCATCTTCAGGACCATTTTTAGCAGTCCATGAAAAGACTCAAGTATCTGTCTGCAGCTAACACAGCTTTTGAGGGGTAAAGGGTGGGAAGGTGGGAATAATCTTCTATCCATTCTCATATTTCCCTCCAACAATCAAAATGGGAACTCCCATGAAATAAAACCCAGAATGTTATTTTAACCCTTCTTCATAATAAGTAATACACATCTAAAAGTTAAAATACCGCATTTGCTTTTATTAATGTTAAACAAACTGTCTGTTCTCTGAAAACTAATATGTACATATATACACACACACACACTTTTTCGACAATATTTCAGAATTCACAAAACACTACTTCAAGATTTTGTGGGCCAGCTCAAGTTGTGAATGAACTAGACTCATGGTTAAGCTCTTGGTTCTTGCTTCTATTGCAGAATTCCTTTCTAACATTACTGAATGCTCCATTTCCCTAATTGCAGAAGGAGGAGGAGTTTGAGGCCTATAATTACTACTCTTCTCATTTGGGCAAAAGCATATGTATTTTTAGAGCCACACTTCAGAGCAGAACAGAACCATCACAAGAAACAGAAGAAGGCTTCCTTTGTGCATCTTCTTCTAGCAAGCCTTTTTTCCCCTCTTTCTAGCAGATGAAGGACTGCTAAGAGAAATTGCTAACAAGATGCTCACTACTTGCAAGTGTAAAAACCTTCCTAGAATATACATACCAAGTTTCTTCATCTAGCATGTATGCACTCTGCCTACAGAGCTGGCAGAATAACAAAACTTAATTTAAATTTTAAATGCAATAATATACAGATATGCCATGAAGCTGTAAAGGAAAAGCAAAACTTTGAAACAAACAAGCACAGCTTTGGGTTTGTTTTTTTTTTTTTTCTTTCCTCCATAAGCACCATGTGAAACAAACAAATTTGTTGTTCACAAGGTAGATCATATTCTATTTGAATAAGCTCAATAACATGACAGAGTGCCAGATATCACAGTTGGATCGTACATACCTTCCTGGCAAGAGGTTATTTAAATCTAATTACCTCGATTTGTATTAACTTCTAACAACATAATTAGTACTTACACAGATCTTCTGTATCCATGAACTTGTTCTTTTGTCAGATGCATGCTAAGTAAGATAAATTACCATGACAAAAGACCACAGGGAAGGACAATGAAAGAGCTGGAATTATTGCAAGTCCTTGATTCCTTAGTTATATCCTTGACTCCCCTCCTATTTCCTTGTAAAGGTTGCTTGGGATAACAATCCTGCAACCCAAAATTGTAAAAATTAATTTTAAGAATCATATATCTTTCCAGCATCTGTTTCAGTTCTCCTTATTGTGGTCAGTATCAACAGGCTCACTTGTAACTGCTAGGAATATCCCTAGCCCATTTGTCAGATTTTCAAACCAAAACCCTCGATTCTCCCTCTTGTGTTTGCTCAGATTCAATGAAGAATCTTATCAACGGGTGAAATATTAATTCCTTTTGGTTTCTTCCTTAAAAATTTCTTCTATGGAGAACACAAGCCAGGTTGCTAGGACACTGCAAATGCATTTTATTCATGCTAATCAACAGGGTTTCATTTGCTTGTAAGCTTTATCTACAACCAGTTATTACCTCTTTTTTAATACTTGGAGTGCAGGTTCTCTTCTGCAACTCATTAGCCTACCACAGGAAGCAACATACTTCCTACACTTGGAGCTAACATTCCCTTCCATCTTTGAATAGATTTGATCACTTAGGACAGAGCTAACAGCAGCCAGATGATCAGCCTAACAAGAAGAACTCAGACACAAGTACAGAGCACCTACACCAAAAAAATACAGCTAATCTAACCAAGACAGTAAATATTCTTATTCTGGTCTGTCGATTTAAAAGATCTGCATGAGATTAAAAGGTTTTTCACATGGTAGAAAATTGAACTGAAAATATTCCACATTCCCAGCCTTAAAAAGGATAAATTGTTTGGCAGCAAAGATACTGGGCCTAGTTTTCAAGCAAGTGGGGAAGAACTAGAGCCAAATCAGCAGGAAGAATGTGTGTCAGCTTGTCAGCTGGTGGATCACCATTGCCCTGTTCCAGCAGGGCCCATGCAAGTGATCTCTTCATGTGTACATGCACAGAGCCAGCCGAGTAGGTGAAGGTATGCTATGTACTGCTGCTCCTAACAACTCCAAAGCATCTTTCCCACCGTAACACAGGCTAAAAGCTGATCTTAACTAGCATAGGTAAGAGCCAACTGGCAGTATACAAAAGGGACTGGTCAAAGCAAAACAGGTTATTACAAAAACACATTCGACCAGGGAATTAAAAGCATGTTCTAACAGCTTTGAAGACCCAACTGCTACAACGAAACACCTTAATATAGCAAATCACCAATACCATATTCTTTGCACACCACAAGTGCAAAGCAAAGCACATTGGCCTAAACTAGCATGAAAAATTGTTAGCAACTTTAGGTGAAGGGTTATCCTCAACACGTGTGCTTATAGAAGTAATAATCCACAAGTGCTCACATACATTTTCATATATTCCTGAAAGATTTGGAACTTGTCCTCTGGAAAATAAGCATTTGACAATGAGAAATTAATGACAGCTCAAACAAATTCTGTCTGGCAATAAAGGTCTTCCATACCTCAAGGTTTCCCAGCTGAGACAATAAGCAATATGACGCAAACAGGCCTTGGTATCTCCTAGCAAAACCTTCCCTGAATCAGACAGTCATCCAGATACAGGTACATGTGATTTAGATGTGTAATTTCAACCACTGAGAATTTACTAGGAATTTTATTACCACAAGTATTCTCAAGAATCATTACCAATAATGATTTGACCCCACTATTTAATTTCTTGAGATACAGGCAGACAGCAAGTGCTGAAAGACTTGTTAGGTCTGATCTTGAGAGATACAAAGGTAAAATAAAACATTGGGCCTCCTCTTATCCAGGTTATGATGAAGATCAGTCTTTCTTCTTTGAAATGGAAATGTCTGCTGAGGTTCTCCCATATTCTCTGAACACATCTTTGAAGCTTTACAAGAAGCATTAAGGGTACTTTCATTTCAGACTCCTGTGAGGTTTCCTGAAAAGCACAGAGAAAGAAGTGGGCACCATATAAACAAAGGGGTGGGTTAGGAAACCAACAGCAATAAACCAATGCTTACTGGTTTGATGACGAGACTAACTAACTAGCAGAATAGTATAATGCAGAATTCAAAGATCATTTGACAAGACTAGTCTGGTGCAGTCCTTAGTCACAGTGTCCGACTTCACAGCAATTAATCGAACAACTGTGTATTGCTAGAGATGAGGAAACTTGTATTTCAGTACAGGTTTCCACATATGTGATGCTTTGGCTTCTACTGAGGACGAAACAAGTTTCAGTAAGAAAGAGGAAAGGCAGCACAGCATAGGTTCTTTCATCACTAACTTCACAGCATTTTCAGTCATCTCTGAGCAGTTCAGACCTGTAGGTGGCAGTTGGTAGTCCACTCAATGAAGATTTAGAATACCTGTGCTTGGGTCGTAGACATTTCACAGATGATTACCATCATGCTCACAGTACTAACTGCAACACTTAGGCCCGTAAGACCATCCTAGCTACTAAACAGCCTCTCTTTCTTGTATCCTTTAATTTGTCCTTGTTGCCATGAGTGAACTCAGCAACTGAGATGCATATTATCAGAAAATCATCCTTAGTTCACAAGGTCTGGTATTTATCCCCTCCAAATCACAGTAGTTTGGAAAAGCAATAAAAATTTCCACAAGAATAGGTCCAGTTACTTAAGATACGGTCTATTTAGTTGTTCTGACTATTGAAGCAACAGTTGAGAGGCCAGAGCCAAAACAGACTCAAAGTTCACAAAGAGCATCTTCAGTACATTCTGCAGCACTGAATGCTGGCCGTTAACCAGATCTTTCACCATGTCTAATCCTCTTTAGTTAGTAGGCAACACCAGATGCTGAAACAGAAGTGTCATTAGAGACTTTCCTGATAAAACTGGAGTTTCTCATTCCAGTCTCAATCTGCACAAAGGGTAATGGGGAGTTAACTCAGCTAATGCTGGTACCATTTAAAGATGGTTTCTTGGTTAGCAAGGTGTGGGGAGAAGAACTGATGATGTACCCAAGATCCTCCTACCCTTGTTTGTGATTTCAGCTAGCAGCTTTTCTAGCAGAGTTGGAAGTGATAGAAATCAACTTCTTGAGGTTAGGTGAAGCCTGTTTACCTTCTGTAAACAGTATCATTCTGTATGTGTACTAACAGCTAGCAGGTTTTTGACACAACCCAGTGTCAGCCTTGCTGAAAGTAACCTAGTCTTCCGAAGTACACAGATCCCAGTGGCAACAGATCCCAAAGGAGGTGATTCTCAGTATCATGAGTCACAGTTGTGTTGGCCAGGGCCAACTCAGATGCTTTTGCTGTTTAAACAAAGATTTATACTGAAAATAGACCTAACGGAAACAGACCTGCTAAAGCATGACTGACACAGTGGTATCTGAAAGTCATCTCTTTCCCCCTGCGACCCACCATTCTACACTATTATGCTTTACTAGAAAGACAAAGATATCTTCCTTAGCATTCAAAGCAATAAAAAAAAAAAGCACCTTGACCAAGATTTCTAAGAAACCATTATATCCTTCAGCCTCTATGTAGTTGCTACTACTAGATCTTCAGTTCTGTCTCGTCATCACAAGTCATTATGGAGATGGCTGCTCTGTGGAGCATTAGACAGTGCAGGGTTATTTAATAGGACAGAGTTAAAGCTGCTGTTGGTCTAATAAGACCTTTAAGGAAAGTTCCAAAAGTGGGGCTTCATGTTAGGAAACCGAACTTTCACTAGGAACTCATGAACCTGCACTGGTGTGTTTAGGATTGGGACTACATATATCTAGGACTAATCTATGTCCTTTCAGAGGGAGACATCACTTCAATAAAAACACCAAAACCTGCAGCTTTAAAATTTTGTAACTGCATGTACCATGAGATCTGACACACAAATCCACCATGCCAAGGTAAAGACAGGGGTATAAAGCTGTATATCCTTTGATCTAGCTGTACCTACATTATAATAAACCAGAAGAGGGCCCAGCAAACCCTATCTAATATATCAATATTGCCCCTGCTCCTTAGCCATTGCAGTAAGAAGCTTAAAACTGATGAGCAAACTTTGTTTGGGGAATATTCTCTACTGCATGATAGTGTTCCAATGCGAATAACTTCATTGTTGGTATATTTTCTGTTCTGCTTTATTTATTTCTATTACATGTTGTTTTTTCTTTCCAATTATGCTAGAAGCACCAATTTGTCTGGACCTCTTTCCTTCTGCCAGAATATAAAAATTTCTATCCCTTTCCTTTAATATTCTTCTTCTCAAACACATCTAGTCTTCTTTCAAACACACTACATAAACAGATAAGCCATCTGCACTGAATCTTTCAATCTAATCACTAAACCGAACATGATAAAGCTTTACTTAGGTTTTAGGTTGATCACTTTATAAAACCTCAGTAATACACCTCCTGTTTTTCACCCAGCACTATACTACCTCCAGAATGCATGAAAGACAGTTTGCAGAAGTAGATTACTTTTACGGAAGGAAAGTTTTCACAAGGGAAATGAAGAAAATTTTTTATAGTAACAAAATTATCAGCTGCTGTTCCCCTCGCCCTACACCAGCAGAGTCAGAAAACATGTTATAACCTCCTCTCACAAACACGAACTTCTCATGTGAACTGAAAGCAGTAACACCATCAGATTTTTTTGCTTGTTTCTTTTGGAAGGGTTATTTTTGTTTTCAGCTACACTTTTGGACAGTTAGAACATCATTTTTAGTCTCTAGTGGCTAAAGTAGTGGGAAAGAGCAAGCAGGACAAAATAAACACTTTAACCCATGCTGATCCAGTTGCTAGTAGCATCAAAAAACTGGTAGGAAATGGCTCCTCATTTCAGCTCATTGTCAAAATTAAGTGACAAGGCAGCAAAATACAGTCATACAATCGCTTTTTCTTGGTTCCTCAGCTTAGAGAAAGGATTAGGTTTATCTGCACAGTGTAATGCTGAACAGAATACTCCTTTGCTTGTGCTAAAAGCTGACTCATCGCTTCAGAAGCAGAACAACATTCAGGGAGGAACTACTACGGTGTGATCACCCACTGCAAAAATAGCCCATTGTTATACATGAAAGTAGAGGAAATGGGCTGCTGTCTATTGCACAAAATAGCATGAACAGCCAGGCATACAAACAATTTCTGGCTGTAGCAGCTTTGGCTTCTTTAACTACTCTGCTGTTGTATTCCCAACCTATAATAAAGAACTTCCTAAGGCAAAAGTTGATACCGACAGAATACCAAGGAAAGCAAGATTACCTTACAATACCACACAATAGTTAAGCACCAAACTTGCCCATTGCCTCCGTATTTCATGACAACTGCTGTATCAACAACCTCATGCTCCCTTTCCCAGTCCAGAGTGCATGTATTAAGAAACATGAAAGAAATAACTGCAAAAAAATCCAAGACAGTCTCTTGTATGGTCCAGCTTAGAGTTCACGCCAAGTGATGCTACTCAATAAGCCCGGCACACAAGAACAGAAATCTACTAGCTAATGAACATTATGCCTGATGGAAATGGTTACAATAATTAAGTGAAGGGAGAATTTAAAACTAATGAGAGGGACTGAGTGCAACGTGAACTGAAAGCATACAGAAAGACATATGGAAGGGAGCAGGCTGGAAGACAAAGGATCCCTATGGTAGGGTAAAAAACCTGGATCTGTTGTCTGTGGTACACCAGGACATATCTCTAACTTGATGGATGATTGCTGGCTTCACATTTAATTTCCATGTAACTTTTCCCCACACCAAGACAGAACAGTCAGTATTTTAGTGCCAGAATACCAGCCATTTTTTTATTTAAAACACTGCAGTTCTAGGCAGACCGTGAAACAACAGATTAACCTACGGATAAAGCAACATTAACTCTTGTGTTCTACTGTTATATTTTGAAGCTTTATCTATTATTCACTGAGCCCACCATTAACAGTGTTTTTAGCATGCTGGGGTGGACAGTGGTGCTTTGAAACAAGTTGGAAGAACAATCTGAAGACAGTATCATAAGCTTGTTCACCAGAAACATAAGAAAATCTGATTATGCAGGTTCTTCAACTTAGCCTGAGCTTAAAGGGAGCTCCTGAACCTACAGACAGCGGGGGTGTTAGAAGTCCCAGGCGAAGCCCTAACTGCAAGCTACCAGTAAGACACAGAAACTTAGGATCATAGAATAGTCAGGGTTGGAAAGGACCTTAAGATCATCTAGTTCCAACGCCCCTGCCATGGGCAGGGACAGCTCACATTAAACCTTGTCACCCAAGACTCTGTCCAACC